ACCCCCCCCCCCCCCCCCCCTCCTCTTATCTGAAAGTCTGCATCCACCTCTGAACTTCATTTAGGTCGACACAAATTACAAATTAGAGTTTGGTTCGTTTCATGAAAAGTTCGACGTTTGCACAGAGACATGGATGATTATTTGTCCGTTCATTAGAATTTTGAACCACTGCACTTTCACATCGTGCGCATCCCTTTCAGATGGCTTCCATTTCCTATTGGCCAAGTGTGTTATCAAGTGTGGTGTAGACCGTACCTGGGGGCGACCTTCGGCTTCCGTAAACTACGAAGTGAACGTTTCCATTATCACCAACTAAATCTTAAGTAGGTACTTTACCCCTTCACATTCAAAGTAGGTTCCAAGTACACTTAGATTATTCTTGAAAGCTCCAGTGTCGAACCCTTGTTTCTCGCTATATATTAGCACGTGCATTTTAATAGCCAATCAGGAAACAGGTTTCTAATTATCAAGAGACTTCTTTTGAGGCCACGTTCAAATATTATGTGAGAAATGTTGATTTGGTGGAGGAAGACAAGAAAGTACTCTAGGCTGCGAACAAATGTTTTGGCTAAAGGAATATTCTTTCACAAACCGGTTTATCTCGCTGTCTGCCTTACTGTTAAATGTAAATCAGGAATAATGGGTTTACTTGAAGAGATGAACAATTTGAAAGGTAAGGGGCTTTTGAATTGTAAACTACTATTAATTCTAATCAGTCGCAATTCGTATTATAGCAATGTGCTAAGCAAATAAATCATGATTCCCCGGTTAATTTTCTATGCCAGTCGATCGATATTGAAACTTACTCGGAGTCAATTTTTGTAATTCCAGAAATGACAAACAGGAAGAGAAAAGATCTGTTAAATCAAGATGCCCTCCGTTGATTGTAATCGTCCACGCGAAAAAGAAAACGCGGTCGGTATTAAAATTCACCAAGTGAGCCTGATTCAGAAGGTAAGGTTGGCTTTTCTTCCAAAGGACTGATTAAAAAAAAAAAAAAACATCATCGTATGTGTTGTAGCTCATTTTTTATCTTAGGTAATTTTACATTTTTCCTTTGTTTCAACTTCGTTAGCATACATTACCATACCAGAAACAAAAGAAAATTGTTCTTCAAGTCTTCAAAAGGCAAACAAAGCGTGCTCTATCGTACGACACTCTTTCCAAACTAACAGCTAACGTTCCTGTTCAGAACTTTTCAAGTTTGAATTCAGACATGAAAGCTTAAAAACCAAATTCAGTTTTTTTTTGTCTTCAACTTGATGATTGGATCCTCTAAAAAGTTAAGAGAAATTTATCCAAGAAAATGCTTTTAAACAATAGAGCGGAGGATCCCGGGTTAAGTTAACGCTTATCGGCCTTCGAACAACTGAGCCCTGCAGTTTTTCATCAAACCATAACGTAGTCTGTTTGGAAGGAAATATAGTCAAAAAGAGCTCTGGATGAACCTTGCAATGCATACTTTCCACTCGTCACTTTCGGCTTGAAGTCCTCGGACTTCCAACTTCCGACTTAATTTAATTATAGTAAGGTTAGCTAGCGGGGCTCCCTGGTCAATAAGAGCCTCTCTTTTCCTGATTTAAAAACTTGTGTTGCTTTGCAGGAATTCAGTTAAAGACAGGAGGTCGACTATTGAAACACAATTGTGTCTTCGATGCGGCTTGTGGTCATCTTTTGGTCGAATGCATTTCGCCGTTACGTGGTTGCGCCAAATTTCATGTATCTACAACCCTTCACTTGACAGCTAACGCACTGTGCAACTGAAGCTTTTATCTGCAAAGTTTAACCAGACAATTATTTTTATAGACTTTTTGATTGTCACTATTTGATGTTATTTAAGGCTACCCGATTTATAGCTCACTAGTTGAAAAAGTGCTGGTGACCTGCTAAGGGAGAGACTGTAGGTCCTAAAAGCCTGGTTAGTTCATGGTATCTGTTATCCCTGGTACCAGGGGTTTTTCTCTCGTGCGGCTGGAATTTTCAGTGTTGGCCGAAGGCCGAAACATCTTCGGCCGTAGGCCGAAGCGAGAAAAGTGTCTGTCACCCAGTGTAGGTATCTGTGAAAAATCCTCTCTAAGTGCAGACTATCGTGTCATTGGCCGAGAACATTAAGCCGTTGGCCTTGTCTCCATCATCCTTAACCATAATTTTTGAAAAGAACCCGCAGCATTGTTCGAAAAGAGTAGGGGAAGTAAGTGCCGGTGTCTTCTATCCGACTTGTTGCAGTTTTGGGTCTGGGTAGGCGAGATGAGATCAAACATGAACTGAAGCGGCTACATAGTGTGCCCTTACTTGCTGGCATCCAATCTCTTCTGTCAAGTCACTGGCTGCAGGAGAGGAAAACTGACACCGTTTCGTTTCCTTTCGACAACCCGTTCACTGTAATTTAGAATACTTGCTAACAAAATGGTTCTTAAATAGCTGTTGTCTTATACATAAACAATTGTATAAAGTAGCATAAGCTTTCTTTTTGGGCATTTCTTGTTTGTAGCACAAAATGTTGCGATAATAATTGTGTATATGAGGAAAACCTTGTCTTGTCAACATTTCACTACCGTAACGATGTTGATGAGAATTCGGTTTGAACATCGGTCGAACATCGTCTCTCAAATGTCGCGACAATGCAGGACTGTGACAATGTTGTAGCAGTGTTGTAAACATCGTGACACTGTTGGGACAATGCAACACCCCCTACATGTTTAACCGGCCTATAAACCTTTGTATAGAACAAGAGACAGTTGAAGTTTTTTTCAGCTAATTTTATTCCAGACGAACAAACCTAGACACAAAGAAAGCATTCACGAGTGCGGTGCTGGCCAGCTAAAAGTTGTTTCTGGGGCCTCCAGGGACTTGGGTCCGTTACGTAAGTCCACGAGACCTGTATTACTTTTACCATGTTTACAATGAACCTATCACTTAACGTCAAACGCTACAAGGAGTGCTCCATTCAACATCCAAATACTTGATGAAACTCTTACATAATTATGATTGTACTTTACACAGAGACAAGCAGTGCAATAAACATGAAATATGAGATTGAATAATAATAACATTATTGATTTTGGCTTTTGAATGCACAATACTTCATATCATACCCAGCCTCATCCAGTAACTGCTAAGAAAGACACCTCACACCATTTTACATGAAAAAGGTGGCAAGCAATGTTATAAACATCAAAACATTCACATGGATAGAAGTCGCGTTCTCAGTAGGAGTCATCGGACTGCTGTCATCTGTGTCATCCCCTTCACTCACTTCTAAGTATGGGTCAAAGATGACGTTTCTGTTAAACTTGTTGCATCGGAAGATGAACCTGTTTTTGCTGCCTTGCGTCACGAACCTGGGGTATCCCATAGGCATCTTTACATTCTCGCCGTCATTTTTGCACTAAAATATCAGTAAATGAATCTCGTCAGAGGAGACAAGAAATAAAAAAAAGCTCTAATTACTGATTAATTGACTGATTTTTCTTGGTAAAAATAGGTCTAATCTCCCAATATTTCATGGATGTTCTGAGTAAAGGAACGTTTCTAAGGTAACGCTACACCACAGCCATTCTTATTAAANAAACTTGTTGCATCGGAAGATGAACCTGTTTTTGCTGCCTTGCGTCACGAACCTGGGGTATCCCATAGGCATCTTTACATTCTCGCCGTCATTTTTGCACTAAAATATCAGTAAATGAATCTCGTCAGAGGAGACAAGAAATAAAAAAAAGCTCTAATTACTGATTAATTGACTGATTTTTCTTGGTAAAAATAGGTCTAATCTCCCAATATTTCATGGATGTTCTGAGTAAAGGAACGTTTCTAAGGTAACGCTACACCACAGCCATTCTTATTAAATTGTACTGCTTATACAATGTGAATTTAGTTAAATTAACATTTACAGCAGATTTTGAACCTGGTAACGGTGTGTAGCCACTAACAATGGACTTGTCGTGGAGTCCACGATCCCATACATTTAGAGGTAGCTTTACCTTTAAAAATGTACCACCGCACTAAAACTAGTCTGTTCCTTAGCCACTCTTTGTGTCGTCACGCAACGCCCCTCCCCGTACCGTAAATGTGGTACGAACACCTAGAAAATGGACGTTGAAACCTGAATGGATGATATGCGGAAATGGATGTGGTTCGATTAGCAACCGTTTGTGGGGAGGAGCCTTGCGTGACGACGCAAAGAACGGCTGTGAAGCAGATTACACTAAACCACGTTGTTCACGGTTTTTCCAGTTTTCGTTTGAAAAGGTTTTTCTTTTTTCCCCTCTTTTCTTAAATAAAAGTGAGTCGCGCGTAAAAGTAGCCTACCCAGAACAGTCTCATAGTACAATTAGAAACAAGATCGACCCAACTGTCAAGCAAAACTCCAAAATTGGCTCGGCTATCAAAGCTCGATGACGACTGATGTTGTGCACGTAAAACAAATGTACTCTTCTTACCTCTTTGGACAATCCGATAGTGTCGTTGCCAATCCTGTAAGTATTGGGGCATTTATCCTTTAAAGGACATCGCATTCCTCTGGATCTTTTGGCAGTTGGAAGGCGGTCCTCCCGTTTCTTTCTATCGGCCTCATTCTCCTCTTCTGGCGTTTCTTCTTTTTTGCCCTTCACAACAATTGCCACCTCAAGGTATTTTCCTACTTCATTTGCTTTGCAGATGGAAGGTATGGCTTGTCCATCGCAGAAAGTATAGTTTTTAATCTACAAAATTAACAGATGAAATAGCTTCGTCTCATTCCGTATGGTCATAGATAAGATTACATTCGCAGATCAGATTTGATTGACCAGTCTAAGCCATAACCATAGTCGTATCGTCTCTATAGCGGAGACTATGCCATGACCGGTGCATCATATGCATCTTCTTTGCCATTTTTTAAGGTTCAATGTTAAACCGTTTGATTTCCAGTTTAGTTTAGGAAATGTTGATCTCGACAGTGGTTTGCAATGCGACAATTAAATAACGAAGCGTGAATGACTGCGAAAACTGCAGCTATTAGAGGG